TTTTGTGGAAGAGCCACACTCAAGGGGCCAAAGAGCCGCATGTGGCTCGTGAGCCGCAGTTTGCTGACCATTGCTCTAACCCATTTCTCTTCACTGTCTTGCAAGCCAGGCACCAGCTTGCACACGATGTCCTGCCTGACCCGGTGCAGCGGGAGGTGGGCAGCGCTGTGTGCGGACCCTGATGCCCAGGGGCAGGACCTGCTGCCTGGAGGTCGCTCAGAGCACAGGCTGCGGGCAGCACCGGGCGCTCTGCAGGCAGCAGGCCCTGTATCCACGCCGGCCCCTGAGCCTCACGCCGGCCTCCTCCCCACTCCTGGCGGGTCACCCCGCACACCGACTGCAGCTGCTTCCCCAGCCTCATCCCATCGCAATCTGGCCCCGGGAGGAGACCCATCGTACAGGCGGATCCCAGCTGCCACTTCTGGTGCCTGCAGGCGGGACTGTCCCCGACTCTCGGGAAGGCCCACCATGTCCTTTCTGGGATCCCTTGGACCTTCCTGTGCACAGTCCATGTCTAGTCCTGTTCAATCTGTAGATAAACTTCTTCCCTTAAACTGACGGAGCCCCTACCAGCCTGAGGGAGTCCCCCAGCCCTGGGCCCAGGGGCCTCATGGGCATCCTCGCTTGTCCTCACATCCCACCTGCAGAATGCTGTCCTCCTCCCGCTCTGCCTTCACCACGTCAGCAGCGGTCTCTGCCTCTCCGGTGCCTGTGCCTTGCGTCCTGCACACCCTCAGCAGCATCGCTCTCGCTGCCTCTTTCTCTCTTAAAAGTCGCTCACCACCGACTTCCCCACACGAAAGCTCCCTCCCTGTTTGCTGCCTGAGAGAGGCCTGGCCGTCTGAGCATCAGCTTGAAAGGGTCATCAGCTCTGAAACCTGAACACCCGAGTTTGGTTTCACAGCTGAGACGTTTTGCTCTGAATTTTTCGAGATGGGAGACATTCGAGAAACGAGGTTTGACTGTATTTAACATCAGTCCAACAAAATCTCACAAGAACTTGTCGTTTCTGGCCAAGCCACTCCATCCTAGCAAGCGAAACGCTGAACAAACAGAAAAGTTAACACCTCTCCTTGGACCTGCCAGCGAGATGGTGGCACAGGAAATGCACTGCCCCCAAACGGAGAGACCGAGACCGGCAGGCAGATTCAGAGCGCCCCCCCCTCCCCCTGGCAGAAGCCTCCCCAGGAACCAGGCAGAAACCACTGCCCTGCAATGACAGACCGCGGAGACTCGTGTGGGCGAGCTGAGGACTCAAACTCCAGGGGACCCAGTCATCCGGGGCCTCCATCCTGCTGTGAGTTTCGCCTCCTGCGCTCCACGAGGTTCCCACGGTGGATACTGGAGGAAGGTGCCTTCCTGCTCTATTGGGAGGGAAAGAAGCCATTTTGCAATCCATCGGAGCGCTCTGTTCCTCACAGCAAAGTCTGCCCTCGGCGGAAACTAGCTAACCAGAGCTGAGCTGTGGGGGTTTTATCAGAACCTCATCGGCCTTGGGCAGTGGTTCTCAAACTTCTGGCTTTTTAAATACAGCTCCTCATGTTGTGACCCAAACATAAAATTATTTTCGTTGCGACTTCATAACTGTAATGTTGCTACTGTTATGAATCGTCATGTAAATATCTGATATGCAGGATGGTCTTAGGCGACCCCTGTGAAAGGGTCGTTCGACCGCCAAAGGGGTCGCGACCCACAGGTTGAGAACCGCTGGCCTAGGGGAAGGGATATGCCAAACCCCAGCCCACGCTGGTCACCTGCCCACCTAACGGGGAGGTTGGGCAGCGTATGAAGAGCTTTGTCTGTAGCAGCAGCACACTCTCCAACGTCCGCTCGGTCCGTCCCCGGATCTGAGGTTTCACTGACCTGCCTACTTGGCCCAGCCCACTGTGGCCTGTGTGTGGACGAAGGTTAGTTGCAGGAACGGGATGCTACTGTGTGGGCCCCACATGGAGGCCCAGGCTCCTCCCACAGCTGTGCAGGTTTCTCTGACCCCCTCCTCCAGTGGACAGAACATTTAAGTCCGTCCGTCATCTACTTCAGGAAGACCAGGAACTGAACGAGCTGAAACTGAACTGGACCTGACGTCCGGTTTGGAGACTGTGGTAGAAGCTGTTGGCATAGATACTGGTCTGCCTGACAGCCATTCCCCGAAAGGAGCCAGAGTAACCTGGGGAAACATGACCCACAAGGACAGACGTCGGTTATTTTAACAAATTGTGGTCATTCCCAGACCCTCCTCCCTGCGGAGCCTGGATACCCACACGCTTATACTGATGAGGGCAGGCGTTTCGTGGCCAGGGCAGGCGCTGAGCTGATGCAGCCCCATCAGAGGGGGAGGAAGGGTTTTCCTCCCTAAAGGCAGGAGAGGCCCCTCCTTCTATGGATGTGAATAAGGAAGTACCACAGCCAGGTGGCTCCGTGACTCTGAGGGGAGGAGGGACGAGGACAGGACTGCCAGAGGAGGGGGGGAGGGTATTTAGGTCTTACTGACCCAGCAGGGCTTCTCAATCAACCAGCCTGACGCCTCGTCTATACTTATTTGCAAGCACACACACATTTTCGTGTCACCTACAGGGTTTTGAGTTTTCTGCCCGTTGCAGCTGGAAGCATTCTACCTGATGAAATGACCCAAAGAGCTAATCATCTGTCTCTCTTAAACGGAACTTTTCTGTTAAGCATCATTCTTCCTTACATTTATTTTTGGTCCTACCGAGTTATTTAACCAGAAGGCTGTTAAGTAAGCCTGGATTTAGAACTAGGGGAGTTCATTCAAGAAATATTTACTACCAAGTGCCAGGCATGTGGTCTTTTCCCGTCCTTTCCTCCATGGCTGACCACCTTCCACTGACCAGTGCGCGCTCTCCAGGGGCAGAGTTACATCCAGCTGGGCGGAGGTGAGCCTCAGCTCTGAGGACAGAGGCCGCAGCTCTCCGCCCGCACTGGGCACTGACTCCAGATGGGAATGACTGTCCTGAAGGAGCTCTGCGCCTCCGCAGCTGAGCAGTGCGGCCTGTGGAAGAGGTCCTACCTGGAGTTGCATTTGTACTATTACAGCGGGAACTGTTAGACTTCCACCACGAAGAACAGCAGTAAACTGTCTTTAAAAAAGATGGCCTACAGAGAACATTTCTCACACAGGAACATCTTCAAAGTCCCGAGAAAAGTCCTGTCTACAGAGAACTCTGCTCAGTCAGATGATTCCACAAGTTCCAGGATGTGAGAAACGCTGCAGAGACAGAAAACAGCTCCGACGTGAGCGATCACAGGGGGACAGGGCCACACTGGGGTGCGGGCATAGGCTTTGTTCTGGGGTTGATGAAAATGTCCTAAGATCTTCAGATGGTGCTGCTCACACTGTGAATGGACTATAAAACACTGAACTGTACACTTTAAAAGGGTGAATTTATAGTATATAACTTATAACTCAATGAAACTGTTATAAAAGGCTACTTTAAAATATTTCTTCAAAAGAGCTTTTTTTGTCACTAGACAAATAAAGTATACAGATAATCTCTAACCAGCCATTCTATATACATATATATATCTAATTCTTGGATAGTTATATAATAACTTCTCTGAAAACGTTTATTATAGTGCAATGTGTAATTCCGGGGAGTTGGGGCAGCCTTCGTGTCCATTAGCAGGAACGTGGACAGGTCAAGCATGGTAGATGCACACTGTGAAGTATCGGGCAACCAGAACAACCAATCAGATGCACATATTTCAATGTTTCTTTGTGGGTTAACCTCAACAGTATGATGCTTGGCAACAATAAAATATGTATGTATTTATTTGTTTAAAGTCTATGCATAAAAATTCACATTTTGCACAAACATACATTGAAATGGTTGCCCTAAGAGGTGAGGAATAAAATAGAAGCAATAGAAATTGGAATAAAAGGGAATTAATTAATTCCCATGTCTGTACCTATCATTTTAAAATAACCAAAGAAGAATGCCAGGGAGCTGAGGACCAGGATACCGAATGCAGAGGACGACTGAAGAAAATCTCACTTTGTTGCCTGCAGTTGTCAGCGGTCCAGCACCATTCCTCTGGCTTACTGACTATGTGGCAGACGTCTAAATTGTTTCCAGACCTCGTGCTATTTTTATATTAGTCATCGGAGCGAATTCTACTCAGCATACTCCTCACTTTAGAAACAATTTTTCAGACAAACATCCTCCCTCCACGAAGTAAGAAGCAACCAGAATTAGTGTATCTGAGGCTTAAATCCATGTTTCACAAAACAGATTTGCTGGTAATGAACTGTTTAACATAAAAAAAAATTCTCAACTATGAGTGAACATGTAGAAAACTATGCCTTTTCCTGGGAATAAACTTTAAGGAATACACAGGAGCATTTTACCAGTTGACCAAAAGATGAATCATCTCTTTTTGACAAAATTTAGAGGGGGAAATGCCACTATTAGTGGCTACAAATTTAATTCTCCATTAAAACAATTTCTCTTTTACATACAACTACGCATTGGAGAAGACAGAAAAACTGTGCAGCTTCTGGTCAAGAAGATTTTACATGAATCAGAGTTAAGGGTTAGCAGCTACTCAGTTGTTGCTTAACTCTCAGAGCCTTTGTAAAGGATATTAAGTAAGATGATCAGTTGTGTCCCTAAAACTCTGTCATTCTCTGAAACCGAAATCTAGCCTTGTCTTAATGGAATGAAATGAGAGATTCCACACATTCGGTCAGATGCCAACTCTAATACTTAACCATTTTCCCGATCAGGAAATTCCTCTTGGCTAACCTAAATCTTAAGCCCTTCCAGTAATTCTTTCTATAATGTGGTTAGAAAACAGATGACCACTTTCCCTTGCATGGAAGATTTTAAGTCCATACTTGAATAGAGCTAATAAATAACACCTCACATTTTCTTCTCCAGGCTGAGTAATCCCAAACTTTCCTTAAGTCTCAATTTCCAACCATTTAATCATGTGGTGGTTCTCCTGTGATTCTACTCCAAGTTCTCTAGATGCTCGCTGTGGATCCCCAACACAGACAACAAAATTCATGGAGGATCTAGAGAGTGGGGTGTAATTCCCAACCAGTTTGTGGACAAGTAGCGTAGATATTTCAGGAACTAAGAAAACCTTTACTCCTTGTGTGTCACGACCTCCAATTTTGGGAAGTGATTATAACTTTCTCTTTGGCAAGAATACCAGCATAAATGATGGGTGGCTCTCCTCTCCCATCCACAGACCAGAAGGTACAGATAGCTTTTCTTTACAGTATTCCAAGGAAAGACAGATTTCAAATTAGGTGGATCGAAACACTGGTGATTTTCTCATCTCTTACAATATATCAAATGTTGTGCGTTTTGTACGTGAAGTTTCAGATAAAATTAAATTGCTGTGATGGGAGGCACCATGAGGGCAGAACGTATAGAAAGCTGTGAATGTGAGATCTGATTCAAGTGTCTATGACTTTCACCAGCCTGTGCCCTTCCATCAGTTACATTTCTCTGGGCCTTAGTTTCCTCAAGTTCGATTGGGAATGATAATATGTACCTGCTAGGACTGTTGTGAAAATTCAGTAAGATAATGAAGCTATGGCAGATGTTATCACCCTCTCGTCCACTGAGCTAACCCTGACGCAACACTGATAGAAACGCGAATCCTTCACAAGCATCAGCAGAAAACCCATTAGAGAAAGCATTCGCTGATTTGGGTATTTTTACGGAAGATTTACAAGGTCCCAGAAATTGCACATATATTTCACTCATAGTTC